CAGCAGGAAAACCTATATAGCAAATTGCCCCATACATAATTTAAGGATACCTGATATTCTTCACAACGAATCTACATCAATGTCCATATGATCCTTCCTTACTAATCTAGCACTACTAAACAATCTATAAGACTTGACAATTAAGAAATTACAGAACTAAGACAATCTTTGGGACATCTTCCCTGTGAATAAATCTACAGCAATTGAATCACTCACTCTCTCGTCTCATACTCTAAAATAACAAAAAAAAAAGGGGGAATTTATTGCAAAATTTAAGATACTACACGAGAAAATTCTGGACACCTAATAATTATTTCAATTCATTGAGATAAAAATCATGCAACAATATACGAATCAGAGAGACGATTTACCGTTAATTCTGCGTTCGCATCTCAGAAGCTTATGATCGATAATCTCTTCGCCGTATGTAATATCTGCACCATACTCCGCCACCAACATCCTGAAAGACAGCGTTCCCTGACCACAAATCGCCCAAACAAAAACACCTTCTCCACCATAAGCTTTCGAGAGAGGAGACAAGAAGAAACGGATATCGGTTCCGACTTAGACATACCACTCGGACCATGGGAGCGAGAACGAGCTTGTTCTGGTAATCCATCGCCCTCCTCTTCCTCTTCGTGGAACGCAAAACGCGGCCCCGAAACGCCGGTCCCTAGATCTGCGCGACAAAAAGTAGTTCACTTCCTTCTTCCTCGACCACATTTTTTGTGGACTCATGTTTTGGGCCTGTGGTTTTCATCGTCAGTATGTTAATGGGCCCTATTATGGGCTTGGCCCACTAAAGATTTGGCGTGGCTATGAATGCTGTGCATATTGCTCATTCAGACGGCGTCGTTTCATTTCGTAAATGAATTATAAATCTATCTTTTAAAGATGCTTATTGAGTGATATTCATAGAAAAAAAACCTTTTATTCGAAACAATCATCCGTATGTAAATAAATAAATAAATAACGAAGAAATCAATTGTGGGAAATTCATAATGCGATGAAATTTAGCGAAGGCCTAACCAGTTCGGATCTTTATACTGATAACCATTACTATAATTTGATCGGTTTAATTATATCCACGAAAAAAATGAAATATTTATTAATTGAGATAACAATGAAGTTCAAGGAAACCTCAAAAAAAATAAAAAAATGTACCAACAACATCAACAATGGAGTTCAAGAAAAACTCCCCTCAACCGAGATAAACAAGTGAAAAATACCAGAAAAGGGGAAAAAAATCAAGGGAAAGGAGTAACTTTGGATCGAATAGTGATCCTGGAAATCACTCTCTTGATCTTTAAGGAGAGAGCGCGAAAAACGTCGTTGGGGCAGTGAAGCTTGTAGCTCTGCAACACTATCCGACGAGATCTTCTGTATTCGTCTTCGCCGTAAGACTGCAGTTGTTGTTGTCCGGAACTGGTTTGTCCCTTCGGCTTGCCATCTTCGTCCCAAGCTTGTGCGTAAACCCAGTTCGTCATCTCAATCTTGTTCTTCGTCGGATTCTGAATCTCCTTCGAACTTCTGAGAGAGAGAGAGAGATTGTGTCTTTGTTTTGGTGTTTGGTGTGTTACTGGGTCACTAGGGTTGTTGATTTATAGTGTCTGGAAAACTTTTCCCGCAAGAAACAGGGATATAGAGATCCCGTGGTCCTATTTGGATTAGGGTTCGATATAGTTACTTAGGGGCACTTTTGGATATGATCTCACTTGGTAACTTAGGTTGCAACAAACTTTCCTTTTATCATATTCACACTAGGGAGTTGTTTCCATTTTTGTTTTGGTTATAGAAACTGTCATATTTCCTTATTTCATTCCACGTGTCGCATGGAAATGGAAACATTCAAAGGCTTGATCCCATGAGAGAAATCTTGTGAGATTCTTGAAGGTGAACAATTCTGGAGATTGATTGGTGATCTTCTCAGAAGAAACTTGCAATTCCTTCAATTAAAAGAAAAAAAAAATCAAGAAGATTACATAGCTCGAAAACTGAAACTCAAAGCATTTACAGAATATCTGCAACTCACCTTCCATGAGAATTAGCAGTAGAAACATCTTATATTATACACATCAAACCAAAATGGTCGTGGAAATATACAAGAAGAAGAGGAAAGATACAGTGGATGTCTGTACAGAAGGACGTGGGAGAGGCTTTCTTCCAAAAACTTGGCCTCTGTGTTAATAAAAGATATGATCACGAGCTAACGGCGTTTAGTTTTGCTGCCTCTGTGAAGGTTAGAGCGGCTCCTGCTTTGCATGGCACGAGGGCTTCCGTACAGATGCTGGTTGCTGCCGCCGCCGCCATTGCCACTGCTCGATATTGTGGTGGTGGCTCCGGGGGT